AGCCCGATGCGGGACTCGATCCCGGGACTCCAGGATCATGACCTGAGCCGAAGGCAGTCGCTTAACCAACTGAGCCACCCAGGCGCCCCTAGAGGGTTCAATTTTTTATTTTTAAAAATAATTATTAAAAATTGTGTAATTTGAAAATTGTTTACATATATAGGTTGCTCTCAAGTATACTTCACTTTTAGAGAAATAAGTGATATTAGCATTTAATTAGTAAAATAGTAAATGAAAATAGGCTTCCCTGCACTTATCCCATTATGCTTTTATTTCTAAGGTAATACTGAAGGCCCCAGCTGCCATTATGGGCATATGGGCAAAGGAGTCAGGGATGGAAAAGGGAGGGCACAGCTCTCTGCTAGTTCTGTGGGAGGCTGGCCACATTTTAAGAGCATTTGGTGCCCTCTCAATCCTTGTAGGTTTGCCCAGAAGCTGTTATGTCATTCGGTGCAGGGATGCTGAGAAGTTGCAAGATGTCCCTGGGTATTGGTCCCTGGTTCCTGAGGACACTGATGTTATCCTAGATCATTAAATGACACTGTGTGTGTGTGTGTGTGTGTGTGTGTGTGTGTGTGTGTGGTGAGGAAGAGGATAGGTGGTAAGGGAAGGAAGGAACCTTAAGTTGATAAGGACTTTTCTGTACTCTTAGACTCATGTGTCATCCACTCCTCACAACAGTCTTGCAAGGTTGGTGGGGATACTCTTCACAGATGGGAAAAGGAGGCTCAGAGAGGTGACATACATCTAATGTCACACAGCAAAAAAGCGGGTTCTACCAAAGGCTTAGTTGGTTGATGGCATAGTTTGAGGACATTCATCTATGACAGTGTGTTTCATGGCATGCTAAAAGGGGTGTGTGCAGAAAAGGGGAATGTGACTAAAAAAGGTTGGGCAATGTTATGCTAGGCACCTTTATTGCAGAACTTCTCAGAGCCTTTAAAATACCCATGTGCATTGTGAAGCTTTCGAGAGGGACATAGAATGTGTTGTGGCCTGTATTTCTTCCCCACCATTAGGATGGGCTCTAGAAAGTGGCATGTAATATCCACTGTTTGTGGAGGTTCACTGGTGGGTGAGGATGCTTCCATAGTGATGGCACAGATGAGCCGTTGCAAACATGGTAGGGGCTTCCATGTGCCCTTCAGTGGTAACATGATGCTTGGAGCTAGAAAGGGAAAGCATGGTTCCCAGTAGAGACTCTCCCAGTCATCATCAGGACAGAAACTGCCCTTGAAAGAACCAGTGGTTCCTGTTTGATGTTACTCTTCTTTGGGACCTAGCCCCAGGCCTTCTGCTTTCCTCACTCTGTGTGCATTGTTTGCTCGCTGAGTGAGCGATTTGGGAACATTCTTAGGTGGAAGTGACAGAACACCTAACTGGTTCAGCCCCACAGAATCTGAAATCTGGGGACTGGCAGTTGAAGGCCCTGGTAGCAGCCTAATGATATCAGTAGCACTTTACGGCTTTCTTTTCTTTCCTGAGCCATGTTGGCCATTTATCCCCAGGCCTTTTGTCTGCAAAATGGCTGTCACAGCTTTAGGCATCACAACCACAGCTGAAGACAGGAGTAGGTATTTGGGTAGGTTTGGTCTTAGTAGCTAACAGGCCCTTTTCTCAAATGGCTCTGTCCATTTTTTAATCCCAAAAGGAAAATATTTCCCAGTAGCCCTCCTTTGTCTCTTTGGTTGGAATAGGGTTATGTGATCACCCGTAGCTGCAGGGGCATTTGAGAAAGACTTGGTTGACATAGACACATTTATTATTCCTGGCCTAGGCACAGTGTTTCTCTGTTGGGAAGGAGAGGGAAGGGGGCTGGAAGGCTGATGATGCCCTCTTTTGCCTGAGTCTTCTGAACAGATCAGCCCAGAATCGCTCATGAGTTCACTCAGGGGACAACCTTGGTTTCTCCTTGCTGCATTCTTCCCACCTCCAGTCTGTCTGGAGGCCCCACGGATTCTTTCTCCCTACCCTCAAGTGCCCCTGTGTTTGCCCTGACTGTCTTTGTTGCATTCTGTCCTGTTTCCCTCATCAGCCCCTTCTTACTGCTAGCAATCCAGTATTTTTTTTTTTTTTTAAGATTTTATTTATTTATTTGACAGAGA